AAATTTTGACCATTATTATACTATATTCAACGGTAAATTTAAATTGGCTCATAGATCTAAAAGTATAAAGATGGAAGTAACACAGACTAGAAAAGGGCAAACAATCCAGTTTTAGGAAACTGTTTAAAATGATGAGCAGGTTTTTTTGTGAAAGAAACCATCCAATAGGCCAATGGGCCAGTGCTTAATGAAGGTTCTCCTAATACTCATCAGGAAATGTCACAATGATGCAGCACTACATGCCAACCAGAATGAAATTAGAGAGTGACAGTGATAGTTTATTTATTCATCACAATATGACTTTGATTTGTCTTCTAGTAAGTCAGAATCCTAGGGTGGCTGACCAGCTATCTCCATTCCCCCAACCCTTATGCTGCCCTGTATGGCTTTTTATGTGGGTGCTTGGGATTCAAATTTATGTCCTCGTGCTTACAGATCTAGTGTTCTTAACCCAGAGCCATCTCCCTAGCCCCTGAGAATAACAATTTTTGACAGTTTATAATCATTTGGTGAGGAAGCTTAATAAGAACTTGGAGGTGACAGTTTTTCAGCTCTTTGTATAAAATTTTTGGTTGATCTAAAAGATGCTCCTGTTTACATATACTCTGCAAGAGTTTTATGCTTTTAACGTATTTTTCTATATCAATTATGACTTTGTTTCTTTTCTACAATACTGTAAATGTTTCTAGAGAAGAGTACTATTTAACTATGCTTAGCCTTTTAAATATGGTTAAACATTTTGTTATATACATTATAGCAGATTACTTTTGGTGTTCTTAGGAATAACCTTTTTTTCTCAGAAGTTTGAGCATCTTACTTAAAAACAAAATTATTGTTACTGTTTTTCTTTATATGTGTTTGTTAGTGACTTTATGAGTATATGTTACATGTGTGTGCCCACAGAGGGAGTCAGATCCCTCAGAAACTGAAGTTAGGCAGTTGTAAGCTGCCTGACCTGGGTGCTTGGAGCTGACATCAGGTCCTCTGGAAGAGCAATAGGTGCTTTTAACTGCTGAACCATCTCTTGAGACTGGCAGTTGTACTTTCTAAACTGCTGTCTGTTTAGATCTTTGACTCATTTCTGCAGTTGTTCACGTGGAATTTGGTAGTTCTATCTTGAACATTTTCTTGTATAGCAGCATGTATTACAACTATAGTGATTCATAGTAGTATATCACTTGGTAATTAGCTATAGTAATGTGTCCAGTTTTTCATGAAATGTAGAAATGATATTGTCTCTATCTTTATTTATTGTGTAGATCTACTACTTAAAAAACATGTTTTATAAGTTGCAAAACAATTTTCAGTTGTATAGGTATATAAGCAAATGTTTATGCTTATAGGTAGAAGATATTAGAACTAGCTATATATACATTCTGAGAAGAATATGCTGATGTGATAAACCAGTAAGTGCAAGCTCTGATTGTTGTTCAGAATTTTTGCCTGTTGGCCAGGGTGGTGGCACACAACTTTAATCCCGGCACTTGGGAGGCAGAGGCAGGTGGATCTCTGTGAGTTCAAGGCCAGCCTGGTCTACATAGCAAGTTCCAGGCCAGCTGGGGCTACAGGAAGACCCTGTCTCAAAAACAAAACACAATTTTTGCCTATTAATCGCTTGAAATAATTGCTTTGCCTTATCAACTGATTGTATAACTATAACAGCATAAGCTAAACTAAAATGTAGTTGATTCTAGTGTCATGTGAAGCAAATGTAACATTTGTTGTAAGCTCATTTTGTCATAGTTTATGTTTTTGAATTTGTAGCTCAGGTGTGATCATTGTGCAAATATTAAAATTGTGTGTGCCTATTACTTTTTTTTTTTTTTTCTTTTTGAGACAGTTTTATTATGCAATCCTGGATGGCCTGGAACTGACTATGTAGACCAGGCTGACTTTGAACTTACAGAGATCTATCTCCCTGCCTCTGCCTCCCAAGTCCTGGAACTAAAGGCATGGACCACCATGCCCTACCTGGAATTAGTTTTTGTACAGGTAATATGGGTTAGATAATCATCAACATTTTATTTAAAGAAAAATTTAAGATGCATTTTAAAAATCATTTTTAAGTATATGATGATGAGAATATTAAAAAATCTTTGAATAGAATAGATAAGATAGAAAAAACTTCCTTTAAGGATCCAATTATATTTGTTTCTCAGCCATTTTCTAGAGAAGACACTTATTTTCACAAGGGTATAAATACAACCTACCAGTTAAAACATCTAGAAGTTCAGCTGATTTTGCTCTCCCTCTATCTAAAACTTCCTAAAATTAATTCTGAAAGTGGGTATTCTTGAATCCATAGCACTTGAATGTTTATCTGCTAGGTGTGGAATGTAGGTGCTAAGCAGCAGTTCTGACATTGCCACAAGCAAAAGACCAGGATGTTGAATTTTGATCCTGACACCCTCACATGTTCAAAAATCAGAAAAAAATGTTTTCATCAGATGGTATTATGAAAGCTTTATTCTAACAATAGGTGGAAATATAAGAAAATTCAATAAGCCCATTATTACATTATTTGTACATGTTATTTGCTGGAGGATAACTAGTAAAGTTTCATCCTCCAGTAAACTTAGCAGCTCAGATATTATCCAACAGTTTCTGTGAGCTAAAAATTGAAGAGCAGCTAAGTATTTTTTTGTTCAAGGTTTCTAATGAATTTGCAGTCATAGTGTAGATGGAGACAACAGTCATGTGTGTACTGTAGGATCTTTTTCCTAGATGACAGAAGACCCTAGTGTCTCTTGGCAGGAAAAAAAATAGTGATCAGTACTCTATTTACCAGATGGATCTTTGCATAGGACTAGTTGAGTGATCTCATAATGGGTTACCTAGCTGAGAGAGCTCAAAGAGGAAGCTATAATTCCTCTTACTCTAAACTTGTACATCAGAGTTATATCTGTCATATTACCATATCACAAGAGAAGGTTCTAATATTGAGAACATTTGCTTAAGTGTCAAGAGTTAAGAGTTTGATTCAAGGTATGCCCCAACACTTAGCCTTCTCTTTGTATTACTGTATTTCCATCAGAGAAAGGAGCTACTTTTTTCAGCTACTATTAGGTCATAGATTAGACATAGTACTTTCAGATAAAATAAAATCTGATTTTATAGTACTTTTCCCCTGGTCTCCTATTGTTAGACTGACTTCAAGACTTAGTCTATGTACTCTTAGTGTTTTTACCCAAGCTTAAGCCTTTTTGTCCTTTTCTGTTTTAACCCCTCAATTGTACTAACTGCCCAAAATTCTCTGGTCAACTTCAGACCTCCATTTAATACTTAACACTTGAATGTTTAGTAGATACCTCAAACTTAAACATGTCCAAAACTAAACTCAAGATATTTTCTCCAAATCTGCTCCTGCTTACATAAATCTTCTCTTTATCAGTTAATGGCAACACCATTTTCTAGTTGCTCAGGCTGCCTTCTTTTATATCAATCAATTAATATTGTTGACTCTAGTCTCATAATATATCCAGAACCTCTTTCTCACTACCCAGTTTTACCTAGCCTAACCTACCATTACTATTTTCCATTTATTTTGCTGGCTTCTTACTGGCCTGACTGTGGCCAGAGAATTCTATTAGAACAGAAGTCAGATGAAGTCTCTTTGCTCAGGACTGTTCACTGGTTTTCCATCTCAGAATAAAAACCTGAATTTCTCATATTAGCCTATAAAGGCCTGTCCTGTTTCACCCCCTCCCTACTTTCACATGTTCTAATTGCATCTGTTACTTTCTTGCTCTTTCTAATCTAGACATACTATTAGTTGATTCTTTGTGAAATTTCTTCGTTTTACAATATTTTCTGTTGCTGTGCCTGGAATGTCTAGGATTTGTTTTTTTCAATGATTCCTTCTCAGTAAAGTTGCTCATCTCTAATAACTCTTGATTCTCTTCTTTTTTTTAAAACCTAGAATGTGGGTTGTCTAGCATGCATTTATTTCTTATTTTCTTTGTTATTAGTGTTCTTTGCTGTAATTTCAGGAAAGCAGATGCATTCATCCTTATTCTATATTGTTATAGTCCCACCTATGAAAATAGTGCTTGGAACATGATAGAATAGAGCTTATTCCACTGAAGACTTTGTGTAAAATATTCATAGTATGAACTTAAATCTATGTACTACATGGATTTACCATTACATCACCATGATCTGTGAAGTCAAGTTATTTCAGATTATTTTTCTAATGAAAACAGTGCTAATGAGAACCTGTGTTTTCTGACAGCATGGTAAAATTATCATTATCCATATATTCCTTTGATTTGATCCAGGGACATTAGAAGATGACATGTTGCTCAGTTTGTGATTTTTATGAATGAATGTAGGTGTGTGTTCTCTGATATATGCCATTAAGTAAGTATCAGTGGTCAGAAACAGCAAACTTATTTGTAGAATGTTTATATAGTGATAGAAAATGGTTCAGGTATTTAAATAAAGCATTTAAATATTAAAAAAATAAGCCTCTGTTAACACTTTTTTTAAAAAGTTGCAACTTCTCAAGTAGTATAAATGTATTAAATACATTTCAAAAGAGAAAGAAAGTTGTTTGTTTAACTTGTTAAATGATAAGTTGTAGTCTTTCCTGATTTAAACAAGGTTCTTATTGGGTTAGAGTATCTGATCAGTTGACTATTAGAAATAAGTACATCATTGTTTCTACACTTTCAATAACTTAAATTTTCCATTAAACATTTCTAAAAAAAAAAGGATTAACAAGCATTTTAATGATTCCAGAGTTAAATGAATTTATGGAGTAGCCAAGATAGCATAGTGTAGTAGACTCCAAACTAGTTAGATCACATTTCCCAGACAGTTCTTTGACAATGTATTTGGTTAATTACTTATAAGTTATACATGTGTTTGTTTTGGGTTTTGTTTGTTTCAGATCAGGTTATATTTTTCTAAGTGAAAAGGCTAACATCTTTACTAATTTTACCATTTTTATTTTATGCATTCATTACTAATATTTTGCCCAATGTATTGTTTCTTTGTAGGAATCTTTTGCAGCTTATCCACTGTTTGAATAAAAACAAAACAAAATCCATAATTCTACTGAGCTGGGCACATAGACACTGCCATATATGTCACAGCACACAGAAAAAGAGCCCTCAGGTAAGGAGGCCGTTAGTTCTTCTACATTAATGACTTCTTGTTTCCTTTATTGGGGACTTTATAAATAGCACATGCAGCATGTCATATTCTAATACAGTCTTAAGTAAAGACTAGCTTTGCTCTATCTATGGTTATTTAATATTCATAGATAATTTCTAGTATTTTCATTTAGTTTTATGTATATGAGTGTTATGCCTGCATGTATGTAAGTGCACCTATGTCGTCCAATGTCCATGGAGGCCAGGAGGGGGCATTAGACCTCCTGGAACTGGAGTTACAGTGGTATTAGCTGCCATGTGGGTGCTGGGAACTGAACCTAGGTCCTCTGCAACATCAGCCAGTGCTTTTAACTGCTCAGCCCATCTATCCAGCCCTTACATTTCACCTTGGAGGCTATTGGAGGAATAGTTAATGTCATTGATTCTTGAATATTGGGACAAGTGACCTAAATATTTCTTTTTTCTGTTTTATAATAATGTCACAACTGTATAGCCCAGGGTGGCCTCCCAATTTAAAATCTTCTTGCCTTAGCCTTCTGAATACTAAGGTTACAAGTGTGCATCACCAGCCTGATTCCTTAACATTTAATTTTAAACTTAACATTACTTTTTAAAGTAGATTGTAGTGTCCACCTCAATGTTGTTTAAGGGATTAAGTAAGATAATGGAACACTTGATTGTGTGTTGTAAATCAAGTTTCTCATTTGTACTCTGGAGGGATTATATTACTCTAATGTAGAAGAACAAAAATATAAAACTAATTTATTGATTATACTATATAGTGTGAGAAAAGATCGCATTTTTGTATAGAATGAATAACTCACTAAGCAAGCTTAGTTTCATACATGTGTGTATAAATATAATAATGTGCTATTCAGTAAAAGATGTTAGCTTCCTACTATATATTATCAGTTACCAAAAATTAATATTCAAGTTAAAAGCTGATGGCTTTTCTTACTTTAATGTGTATCATTTATTTATATTTTTGAAGATGGACTAGCACATGGTTGACTTGGTCTGTGACAGTTCTTTTGAAGAATTTTATGTGACCCTAGACTTTGGAACATACATTGTTAGGATTTAGGGTAGACACCTAGCCTTTGAAAAGAATGTAGTCATTCATAAAGTAATGTTATATATTGATAATTAACTCATAAAATATCTACATAATATTTGTATGTAAAGTACTTGGGTAATTTGGAAAGTCATTCTCCAGTCCATAAAGAACTTTGATAGTATAATTTGACATTTAAAAACTTTATATTTCATTATAAAATCTAAAATACCTTTAGTAGTCAAATTTTAAAAGGTGATTTTTTTTTTGAGGGGGTGATTTGGTTTTGGTTTTTTGTTTTAGAAAATGCATTTAATAAGTCAACTTTATATATAGTATTTCATGTTTAGCTACTGTGTGATGAAGTGTGTTTTATGGTGCAAGTAAGATACACTTGATGCTCAGGAGCATGTGGTTTAGTAAATAGTTGTATATGTATTAAAGAAGTTTCTCCCCAACTAGTTGTCATAGGAAAGGCCATTGATGGCTTGTTTTTGTTTTTTTTTTTAATTTTTTTCAGTAATGGATCAAGAATCCAACAAAGCTGCTTGGCCTAAACCAGCAGGAGGATATCAGACAATTACAGGCAGGAGATATGGAAGAAGACATGCTTATGTCAGTTTCAAACCGTGCATGACCAGGCATGAAAGAAGCTTAGGTCGAGCTGGCGATGACTATGAAGTATTGGAACTAGATGATGTTCCAAAGGAAAATTACTCAGGTATGCAACATGTAATTGCTTAAGGGCTATTAGTAGTTATGTAGGGATTGATCTTACAATACTTAATTTTTTAATGATTTTTTATATGTGCCTATGAGTATAAATTCAGTATATTTCCTATCACGAATCCTATTTTGAAGTTGAAAATTTTATTGAATTTAATAGTGTAATATATACATTTAGAGGCTGGGTATGGTGGCACATGCACACACATTTTATCCCAGCACTTGGGAGGCAGAGACAGGCAGATCTCTGTGAGTTCTAGGCCTCTGAGAATATGCTGTGACTTCCATTACATCACCCTAATGCCTTGGGGTGTGTGTGTGTGTGTGTGTGTGTGTGTATAAAAATTGTGTGTGTGTAGTCTTAATATATAGTATTTCATGTATACACACACACATATGAACACACATATTTAAACACAGAAGAAAATAGACTATGTCTAGTCATTAAAATATAACTAATCACCATGGTGGTGATTACATTACCACATCCATGAGCTAATCCCCCAATGTGAACTGAATGTGCATTTCCCTTGCATACTACATTTGAGTAATTTTTCTTTTAACTTTCTCTACTTTATCTTAGCTACTTTATTTTTTATTATTTTATAAAATAAATATCCAGATATCAAGTAATAGTTATTAAAATTAATTG